GCCAGGCCACCAATTCCCAAGTCAGAGAGCCTCCTCAGGAGGATGCCATGGTCGACGGTATCAAAGGCGGCTGAGCTATCGAGGAGGACCAACAGAGACGTTTCACCCTTGTCAGCCTCCCTCAATAGGTCATCATACAGGGCAACCAATGCTGTTTCTGCACCATGGCGCGGCCTGAAACCTGACTGGAACGGATTCCGGGGCATTTGTTTCATCCAAATTATCGGCCACCACCCTCTCCACCATTTTGCTAATGAAAGAAACGTTGGCGACTGGCCTATAATTGCCAATTTCATCCGCCGCCAAACTAGGTTTCTTCCTTTCTGTTGGTGAAAAGATACCACTGCACAATCTACAGTTGCTTTTCTGATTTTGGTGTTTTCAGATTAACAGTTGCCCAAACACAAAACTTCAGAAAGTTGTTGTTTTTTCTTTCAAAAAACAATATGCTAAGACACTCTTCCTGGACCTAGGGGAAAATTGAGGTAGTTTCCTCATGGTTTTGGGAGGGAAAATATTAGTAAATAAATCCTCAATGAAGCAGAAAACATTTAGATAATTACTTCAAACATCATATATTGTAGATTTAAACAAAGAACCCATCCGTTGTCCCTCACTTGCTTCTTGATAAAACACGAGGTTTTATCAATGAAATCATAGAGTAGATCTCTTTATTTCTATATGGAACTGGAGACAGTGTAAGTAACTTTTCTTACCGACACATGATGGCTAAAATTACTTGCTTTTCAGTTGTTCTAATAGAAGAAAATTTATTATTTTCTAGATAGTGCTAATGAAAATGCTTCTGTGCCAAGATCTCAATCCCTTCCACAAACCTCAACAGTAGCTTTGGCGGGTGGAATGACAGACCACAGTACCTCAGGTCTTCCTGTACTATCTGAAAGAGAAGCATCACGATTAGATAAATTCAAGCAGCTTCTTGCTGGCCCAAATACAAATCTTGGTAAGTACTACAAAACAAAACAACCACAGACTTTATATCTTGTGGCTGTTGTTGGAATGGAGGAGTAGCTCCTGCCTTTCTCTGATAACTCCAAAACTATGGAATTTTCTCTTTAGAAAAATATATGTATATAAATACACTTATCTAGTGATGTGTGTTTGGGGGGGATGACAATTACACCTGTATTTTTCAAAATGTTAAGGTCTTTAAATTGTGCCCTGATTGCTGATGTTTTATTATGATAGGCTTTCTTGAAGTAGCTTCATTACTGCATTTTAAAAAATGTGTTAGACACTTGTATTTGTATTTACACTTTTGAGCCACTGTAAATTAAGTTTATTTGATATACTTGTTTACTTCTGCTTTGAGTTCTCAGTGTTATCTGGCATTTATTTGTACAATAAATAAATAAAAAAGCCATCAGCTGAATTTTGTGCCTTATGCATTATGCAGATTTATACATTTTGGGCTCAGGCCCATATCCTGGCATGGATATGGTGTTGATTGCCCTGAAAGCGAGACTAATTTCTGGGACTAGCAAATTCAATCATATATTCCTAGTCATGGCCCCATACATTAGCTCCCTGTCAGTTCCTGTGCTCAATTCAAGTTGCTGGGCATGACTTAGAAAGCTGTTAATGGATTGGGCCTCATTATTTGTCAGAATGTCTCCCAGAAAACAGCAACCTGTTTTATACACTCCTCTCAGTCCACGTTGTTAAAAGTGGCCACACTGGGGGAGGCTGAAAAGGTCACAATGAGGAACCAGGCCTTGGTGATGGCCCCTATTCTGTAGAACTGAGGTGCCCCAGGCTCCGTTCCTCCAGATATTTAGGAAACTAGTAAAGACAAAACTCTGAAGAACATATCCCCAGATTATGTTAGTGTGTGTGTGTGCATTCTGGCCAGCAGAGGTGGTGGTGAAGGCTTCTGGGAGCTGTAGTCCAAGAACGTCTGGAGGCCCAAGGTTGGGGACCACTGGCATAGAAGACGGACCCAAATCCAATGTACAGTGGTGCCCCGCATAGCGACGTTAATCCGTTCCAGGATTAACGTCGCTATCCGGATTCGTCGCTATGCGGGGGGGGCAACCCCATAGGAACGCATTAAACTCCGTTTAATGCGTTCCTATTGGGGAAAAACTCACCGGCAAGCGAAGATTCCCCCATCCTGCCACCATTTTCGCTGCCTGGTAAGTGAGGGCAGGGCGCGAAAACGCTGCGGGCGGCCATTTTGCTGATCTGGCAGCCATTTTGGAACCACCGATCAGCTGTTCTGCAAACATCGCAATGCAAAGATCGGTAAGCGAAACATTTACCAATCATCGCAATGCGCTTTTCGGCCATTGAAAACGTCGCAAAATCAGACACCCATTGCACCTTTAAGTTTTAACAGATTTATTTCAGCGTGAGCTTTCATGAAACATTCATTTCCTCAGGACATCATAATGAAATACATCTGTTAAAAACACAAAGCATGCTGCTATATAGCACCCCATAGTACTTAAAGCTCTCTCTGGGAGGTTTACAATTTAATTATGCAAGCTGCACATTGTACACCCACCCACCCAGCAAGCTGGGTACTCAGTTTATTGACCTTGGAAGGGTGGAAGGTTCAGTCAAGCTCAAATCGGCTACTTGAGCTGGGGATCAAACTCAGGTTGTATGCTAAGTTTTCACTGCAGTGCAAGAGTTTAACTACTGCACTATGAGGCACCATAAGCCCTTTTTATTTATTTTTTTAAAACATGTTGAAGCAGGCTAACATAACAACCACTTGCAAAATCAGAAGCACATGCTCACAATATGTCTTGGTGCCATGCCTTATATCACCTACAGATCTCTGGGCATCCTTGTAGCACTGATTTTTCTCATTCAGTTTGTTTTGATATTAATGAGGTAGACTAAAATGGCTTTTCACTTTGTTCATGGAAATCTGTTCAATGCAGGGATGGGCAAAATGTGACTCTTCTCAAGTTGCTAGGTTCTTTCTCTCATCAGCTCGTCAATATATGAGGAATGCAGAAACATATAGTCTGAGCAGTGTCTGGAAGCTCACGCTGCCCATCTCTGATCTAATGGGGTGGAAATGTATTTGAAAAGTGCTATCATATCATCCTCTCTGTCTTTTCTCAAGGCTAAAACTGTATTTCCGGAAAGTGGTTTGTTTTCCAGTCACCTGATCATCATCCTTTTTGACCTTCTCTTAACTTGTTCCAGTTTGTCATCTTCCTGCGTTGTCCAGGACCAGACACAGTAGTCAAGATCCCAGTGCCGAATAGAGAGGAACGAGTACTTCACAAGATTTGGAGACTTTCCTTCTATTATTAATACAGCCTAAAATAGTACTTGCTTTTTTTTACAGCCACATCATACAATTGGCTCATAATCAGCTTGCTATCTATAACTTTTCCAAGATCTTTCTCACTTGTAGTATAACTGTGCCAAGTATCCTTATCTTGTAACTCTGTGTTTGAGGGGTGTTTCTTTTGTTGTAGACTTTGTATTTAACCCTGTTCAATTTCATTCTGTTGTTTTCAGCCAAATGCTCAAGTGTATCAAGATATTTTTGAATTTTTTTTGTTTCCATGGTATTGGCTATCTCACCCAATTTTGTGTCCCTTGCAAATGTGATAAGCATTCCATGCACCTCGTCATCAAGTCATTAATAAAAGTGTTGAAGAACACCAGGCCCAAGACCAAGCCTTTTGATATCCCACTTCTTACTTACTTCCAGTTCAAGGAGACACTGATAAGCCCTCTCTGATTATGATTCTTTAACCAACTGTATATCCATCTGATAGTTGTTCTATCCATTCAACCTAGTTAGCATGCTAATCAGAATATTATGAGGAACTTCATCGAAAGTTAAAGTCAAGATACCACATTTTCCATGTATAAGATGCCCCATGTATAAAGCACCCCCACTTTTCTAACCCAGCATTTCTTTCTTTGCAAGAAAGTGGAGGGGAAAAGTGATTACGTTGCAAAAAGTAGCTTTCCCCCTCTACATTTTGCAAAGAAAATGGAGGGGGAAAGCGATTCCTCCTTTCCTCCTACATTTTCATTGCAAAAAGCAGCTTTCCCCCTCCATTTTCTTTGCAAAATGTGGAGGGATAAAGCTGCTTTTTGCAACAAAAATGTAGGGGGAAAGGAGGAATCACTTTCCCCTTCCATTTTCTTTGCAAAACATGGGGGGGGGACAAGCAGGGATCAAAGCGCTTTGATCCCTCTTCCCCTCCTTACTTTGGTGTATAAAATGACCCTCAATTTTTCTTTTAATTATTTTAGGAAAAAGAATAGTTTTATACATGGAAAAGTACAGTATATTATGTCTACAGCAGCGGTCCCCAACCTTTTTGGGGCCACGTACCGGCTGAGGGGGGGCGAGCTACATGTGTGTGGGAGCTCCCACTTGTGCAGCGGGCGTTCCTGTTTGTGCACCAGCATGACACCACCCCGCGCGAGCATGACACACCTGTCACGCGTGTGTGCATGGGGCAGAGATCCATATCTGCAGCCCAGTTCTGTCAAGCCCATGGACTGGCACCAGGCTGCGGACAGGGGTTGATGACCCCCGGTCTACAGCATTCCCATAATCTACAAGGGAGGTTACCCCATTAAAATGAAATAAAATTAGTCTGGCAGAACCTGTTCCTGACAAATCCTTGTTGGCTTCTAGTTGTTACTGCATTCTTTTCAATGTGATTGTAGAGTGACTGCTTTATAATATGGTCAAGAACTTTCCCTGGGATCAATGTCAGGCTGACTGGTTTGTAGTTTCCAGGCTCCTCTTTTTTGCCCTTTTTAAAAAAAAAATAGTGACAATTTTAGCCCTTCTCCAATCATATGGCACTTCATCCGTGCTCCATAATTTCAAGAAAAAAAATAGGCCGGAAAGTTCTTCAGCCAATTTCTTCAATACTCGTTGATGCAGGCCCTGAAGATGTGAACTCATTCAACATCATAACGTACAGTGGTGCCTCGCAAGACGAAAGTAGTTCGTTTTGTGAGTAGTGTTGTCTTGCGAAATTTTCATCTTGCGAAAAGTGGTTTCCTATAGGAATGCATTGCAATGCATTCCTATGGGAACCTCGCAAAATGAATGAATTATTTTCGTCTTGCGAGGCATTGATCTTGGGGGGAAAATTGTGTTGCGAAGCACAGCCATAGAAGAAGCTGTCTTGCGAGCCACCACAGCAATCGCAAAAACCATTCATCTTGCAGGTTTTTCGTCTGGCGATGCGTTTGTCTTGCGAGGCACCATTGTATTCTTTATCAGTCTCCAGCTGTCATTTCCTCTAGTACTTCATATTTATCTGGAGGTTTATAGACAGTTTTGGAAAAGGATCGAGTTAAAGTAGGAATTGAGCATATATTTTTTGGTTGTCTGTTATCATTTCCCCATCCCCATTGAGTACCTGACCTATTTCCCCCCCCCCCACAGTCTTTTGCTATGCAAATACCTGAAGAATACCTTTTTGTTGCTTTTAACATTTCTTGCTAATCTTAGCTCATTCTCAGCTTTTGCCTTCCTAACACCATCACTGATATTTGTTTGTACTTTTCCTTTCTGTCTTTGCATTCTCCAGTTCCTATATGTGTCATTTTTTTTAATTTTTGGGTCCTCTCTGTTCCTTTTATGAAGCCACATGTTCTCTCTTGCTCTTTTACACCTTTTTTCCCCCTTATTGACATTGTTCGTAGTTATGTCTTTAGAATTTCCTTTTTAAACAACTCTCACCCATCCTGAATACCTTTTTCTTTTACATTCTCATGCCATGGGACCTTATCATTGTTCTGAGTTTATTAAAATTGACTTTCCTGAAGTCCAGCATGTGTGGTTACACTCCGCCTTTATTTCTTCAGAATCAAGATCTCAAGTAGAACATGTCAGTTTCACCCAGAGTTCCCTTTATTGCCACTTCTACTAAGTCATCTCCATTAGTTTGAATCAAGTCAATGATAACTAATTCTCTAGTTTCATTCCTCCAAGTTTTG